CTGAGAATTGAACTAAGCTCGTTATGATTGCACGCACCTAACCTATAATAGTTATATGATACAGTTGACAAAGAGAAGACAGATCACGTATTACCGCTCTACCGACGATCACATCCCATGAATACCTGTAAGTCAATAATTTTAAGTACGTTTTTTTCTTGTACGTCTGAAGATAAACATTAATTCTTAGTACGGATCTCAATTATAATAAAACATACATACAATTGTTTTTACAAAAACATACATAGCATACATATTACACATATAAACCTTTCATTTCTTAAACTCCCACAATTCTCAAAACGTCAAGCTGACAGTCATATTGTGACACAGAGTTCCTCTTTCCATTTTCTATTCTCGTTCTTAAGAAACAGTAACCTTGCATTAAGACAAAGTGCTTTACCAACCAAAATCCTAAATCAACATTTCCACACACTACATCAGCCTGTATCTAACTGATATTTAATCATTTTAACATGAACCTGATATAACTGATTCAATACAATCCTATAAATATACGAACAAGTATAATAATACTGTCAGAAGAGATTTGTAGTAAGTAAATACACTTGATCCGACGAGTCGTAATGCTCTGGTTGTTTGAAGAAGAATATGGAAATATAGCATATGAGAATTTTGTAGGAATCGTGAGGGATTTGCGTATACCATATATTCATTCTTTTTTTAACAAACTTACACGATAGCCGTTATATAAGTAAAGAGTAATATCGCTTTATAGAAATATTCTATTACAGGCAGGCGGTTGGCCAGAATAAACACCAAATACTGGTTCGCAATGAAATCAAGGCGAAAGAAGATATGCCTAGAAAAGGAGTAAGCAGTGACTGCGATGACCACGAATAAATTTTGGGAAAATGATAAGATGATAATTGGGTTTGTTTATGCTACTGCATATGCAATTTGAGATAATATTTATTTAATCGTAGAATATACATATGATAGAGATAGCGATAGAAACAGAGAGAAAGATAATCGTCTATCAGGTTTAGGTTTAATTAGAATTTATTTCAAAACCAGAGAGTTCAACGACGCTTGAACCTGTAAATTGTGCTAATTCTGTGGCTCAAAAACTCTCTAAACTAAACTAAAAATCACATCAAATATGGTTTAGTCCTGTTAAAAAACGTTTCGTATTCTGAAAACATAGTAGTTGACTGGACTAAACTAATTTTTAGTGATTTTTAGTTTAGTTTGGAGAGTTTTCGAACAACAGAATTAGCACCAATATCAAACTTTGTCAGTTAACTTGATTAAAATTATATTAATGCCTGTACCTTTTCTTACGGTTTTCAATTTTTATTTTTGTGTTTATTGTAAAGCATGGAAAAGCTTTATACCTACAAGTACAAATGAAACAAGGATTAACTTCAGTAGACACTTTATAACACAGGGGCGGAGTTAGAAATATCTAAACAAAAATGACAAAAGGTATGTTACAAGAATGCAACAATAAGCAATGATCAGTCACTATCTAAATACAGTTAGAAAACAACCTAATATAATTTTCAATTCACAATTCTTCCTGCAAGGAACTGGACCCCTCATTTGCTTTTAGCCTTCACATTTATTCAGCTTCCTTTCTCTTCATTAGACCTTCCATCCGCTCTATACACTACCAGATATCACCAAATAATGTTACAAAATTATTCTTGATTCACGAATTGATTCGATATCTTTACGCCTGTAGATATAAAACAGGTTTGCAAATCATCTTTATATCTCATTCCTTACATAACATCAACTAAAATCTATTACTGAGCAATCCTTGGCCCGCGGCTATCACTAAAAACTCAATCGTAACATCTTATATAATTTTATTATATTTTTATGACGAAATGGAATTCGTGTGGAACTCTAAAAATTTTATGTCTTTTTTTTCCTGTATCGGAGGGTATTTCACATAAAATGTTTTACACGTAAGCGAACTATAAAAGTATGAACTAAAATTTTTGTACCCATCTTACATTCGATCGGCCATGTTATGTCTGCCTACATGATTATGTACACAGAGATTTAGTGCGTTCAGGCTATTATTTAACTATCTTTACGCCCTAATTCCTCTATGATGTGGGTTGCAATCGGATATCCAAAGTTATTTTATATTGTTACTGTTTTCTGGATAAACATAAGATATTTATTTATAACGTAGCATAAAAGATTTACTACACAAATGACGTAGTGGTTTAAGCGGTCACCACGACTGCTTTCTGTGTGGTGGGTTCCCAACATGGGTCAACACTTTGAGTGATTCATAAATTGTTGTTCTGAGTTTGGGTGTTCTGTGTGTCCATTTCATGTATGTTTGTAAAATCTCCAGAATACATATGTAGTGACGAAGTGGTTTATGAAAAAAAGTAGAAGAGTATAACCATATATTTGCTCTGATAAATGAAACAGGCATTTGTCTTCCAATTCATTATCATCATCATCATTAACAGCCTTTAGTAGTCCAAGTTGGACATAGGCCTCTCCTTAAGTGGTTTTTGCCCACTATACTACTCTGGCCAGACGTGTTGGTATAGCGTTTGTTTCAAGTTTTCCTACTCTACCAATTAACTTGATGGAAAATGAAACTAAAATTAAAAGTGGTAGGTATACGCCTTTTGAACTGCTATCTCTTCGCAAGTTGGTCGTCTCGAACGGTCAGGGCTTATAACTGTCTCGAAAAATACATGAAGGAATCCTTTCAGTCCTTGCCGATTTAAATAAAAAGAAAATTCATAATAATAGGGTTTTAATTTTTTAAACTTTTAATGTAACCTCTTTACTGATATTTTTAGATTTAATTTTCGTGTATTTTATCGCATACTTACTCATGGTTTTTATTTTTAAATCCATTTAATTCATTATTCTGATAACACTTGAGTTATTAAGGGATATTGTGTTCTGCTATCACTGCTGTCAAAGAACTTTTGGGGAGTTCGTATCAATAACGGACGCCTGTGTAGGTATTACTGCATAATATTGTAAATATTTTTTACGATATTATTTGTTGCTCTGTTTAATATAATACTAGCTGAGACCCGCGGTGTTACCTGCGTTTGTTGTTATAACCGCCGAAGCTAGTCTAAAAAAGTAGCTTAAGTTACACCTTATGTCATCAGCTATCTGCCAGTGAAAGTCCCGTCGAAATCGGTCCAGTCGTTCCCGAGATTACCAGAACAAACATACATATAGACAGACAGACAAAAATTGTAAAAAATGATATTTTGGCATATGTACCATGTAAACATACATATGCATTTAGTAAAAAGCGGTTATTTTAATATTACAAACAGACACTCAAATTTTATTTATTTGTATAGACATAGATTTTGGAATCCAGGTTACCATATACTAAGTATTTACTAAATACTCATCACAGGTAATATTGTAAGAAAATAATTATTGTAGGGTAGTTTTTTGTATTTATATAAGTTCCCAATGTTATTATTTTGTTATAAAACATTTAATACAATTGAATGACCTTTTACTACTATAAAAGCCATTTTGCTTCCGAAAACTCGAACACAAACAACAGTACAAATATGTACAAACATTTTGTACAAATATTTACTGCAGTCAGTTCAATTCCATTTAATCTAGTCTTTGTTTAGTAGTTAGCATCGCAACTGCCAACTCGGCAACTGCTTTCTATGTTAAAATACATTGGAATTCTAGAGGATCCAACTTGTTACTCTGTGTGTTTGAAATCGTAAGTGTTTTATAGAACACAGTTAGGTAACTTATACTGTGTGTTGTATGCTTAGATCTTTTAAACTTAGACGATGGCGTAGTAGTTTGTGTAACGGACTGCTATTCCAAAGGTCGCGGGTTCGATTCCCGCTCAAGTCAAACATTTGTGTGCATGAACATTTGATGTTTGATTTGGTCTGGGTGTTTCTATGTATAATATGTATGTATTTACAAAAAAAAAGTATTTATGTATTTATATCAGTTGTCTAGTACCCATAGTACAAGCTCTGCTTAGTCTGGGACTAGATGGCGTTGTGTAAAAAAAAAAAAAACTCAGCAATGCATTTTAATACAGTTTTCACCAGTAGAGAGAGTAATTTAAGAGGAGGGTTTATATGTATAATACAGGCATATTAAAGTAGAGAAAATCCAAGAATTTCAAAGATTCGTTGTAAAAAAACATGTTTTTGTGCGCTTACATTGCAAACGCTTACTAAACCTTACAAAATATACTAAAATAATTTACTACGGAATTGTATATCTTAAAAAGATCTACAAAAAAGTCCGTGATATTATATATCTATCTCCTAAGGACAACCCACAGTAACCATTTTTATCTTTTAAATATTACAAAAAAAAAAGGTTTATTTAAGAAGCTATTTTAAACAATGTAATATTATTCCTTATCTAATTAAATACGTTAGATACGTTCTAAATTTAATTTAGATTAAAATTGATTGTCACAGCATATCATTAAAATACACATTTTAGAAGATATTAGCCTATAAATATATTAGTATAGTCGTATCATAATAATAGTATAATTAATTACTCCACAGTGACACCACTTTAGAAGTATCAGTAGTATCTACATTGGACCCGTGCGAAGTCGGGGCGTTTCTATTTATTTATTAGCAAGAAATATCTTATTACTTGTATTTGTTTACCCTTTACTAATGTAAATACTCGTATAATCGGTAATTAACATTTAAACTTTTGGTTCCACGGTATATATATAATTATTTATTTGGAAATTGACGCGACATTTAAATTTACACTTACTTGATACTAATACCTAAATGAAATTCGTGAATCAGTAATAAAAAACAAAAGGTGATCTTAAAGGCATTTGTGTACTTTTACTATTCATTTTATGATCTATTAGTATTTTTTTAACAAAACATTTTTCAGCCGTCTCGGAGTAAAAAAAGTATTTGCCATAAAATTGCGAACTTTCTCCCTCTGAAGTCGATTTTCAAAATGAATATTGAACAGTGTTAAAAACTTAAACAAAATAACGTTACTCATATATAATACAGTAACAGTGTCATTCCTTCATGCTTAATTCTAACACTCACCAAGTAATATACTCCAAACGGCATCACCACGACTGCTACAAGGAGATCAGCAACCGCCAAACTCACTATAAAATAATTCGTCACTGTCTGCAGCGTCCTCTCCCTAACCACACTCATTATCACTAACACGTTCCCGAACAGCGTGAAGAAAGGGAATATTAACAATAAAAGAGCCCAAAGATTCTGCTCTGAATCATCAACCTGTCTATTAAAACAGGAGACATTAAAAGTTCCATTGTAACTACAATTTGTATATCCGTAAACATCAACTAAATCTACACTGGTATTTGTAAAATCTTGGGATGTGTTACTATAAAAATAGTCACTGAAGTCATCGACTAGTTTCATTAAGTCACTTGTGTTGGTCTCTTTGACTTCGAGTTTGATGGTGCTGTTCCTGAAGTCGGGTGGTCGTTTTGATGGGTAGAGGTATGTTGTGTAGTGTATACCGTTGTGAGGAGTAAGTGTTGGGCTCATGGCTAATTCAGTCTTATGAATTCTGTTGTAAGTTGGTAGTGTCATGTTTGCTTGTTTCAGGCTCCATTGAAATCAGGGGTTGAGTTGAATCTGAAACAAAATAAAAAAAGTTTTTTAATGTTTTAATTTCAGATCTACTATATTGCTGCTGGATTCATAACATTATTAATAGAAAATTTACATGTTTGTAACAGGCATATATTATAACATTAATAAAAACGATCAAAATGCTTCTAAATTTTATTTTAAATAATATTATTTTAAATTATTATCTTGAATGAATGTAATAACCAGGACCAATTACGACCAATGACGACCGGATGGCATAGTGGTTTGTGTAACGGACTGCTATTCCAAAGGTCGCGAGTTCGATTCCCGCTCAACTCAAACATTTGTGTTCATGAACATTTAATGTTTGATTTGGTCTGGGTGTTTCTATGTATAATATGTATGTAATTACAAAAAAAAAAAGTATATATGTCTTTATATCAGTTGTCTAGTACCCATAGTACAAGCTGTGCTTAGTTTGAGACTAGATGGCGTTGTGTGAATGTAGTTAAATATATAATATATAAAATATATATATAATAAATATATATAATTATAACATAGCTATATTATGTGTAGTGCTAATTAATTTAATTATAAAAAAGACTTTTGTGATATTAACTTGTATGGTTCTTCTTATTATTCTATCAATTTTATTGGATTTCTATTACTTCTCTCAAAAGTTGTGTCGGTCGAATGGGTTTCGCCATAATGTATAAAAATTATAAATAATATTATAATTTTCCAAAAAACAATTATTTTTATAATATTAATAATTGAGAACATTTTACTCAGTTTTTTAATGACCGAGAGAACAAACGACCAGATTATCAACTGGTTAGGACCAGGTGACATAATATCTAGAATTCTTAGTAACATGATTGCCGCCATGGTAAGGAGCAAGAGTTCGTAAAACGCCGTCGTCTACTTCTGCGAGCAAGTTAAGAGGTGTAGAACTCTCCCCACCAGGGACTTCCTTTTTCACCAGGGACTTCCTTTCTAGGGTATACCTGGTTCCCCGGCTATTAGTACCCGAGACGGCGTGCGGTTTTAGTCGGTTCGAGTCCGACATGCCACATGACATGCCTCGGCGTGGTATCCGAGGGGATTTCCGCACGGAAAAAAAAGAAAAAAAAAGGTGTAGAACTCTCCCGAAGCACCAGGCCCAGCAACGGGCCAGGTACCGCAGACGACTCAGGCGCCGGAGGTCGCAGAATGACCTCCGTCCTTCATAAGCGCAGGCCGGGGGTGGTAGGTGAGGCCATCTGTCACCCTAGTAGAAGCAGGCCGGGGTGGTGTCGAGACGCGCTGCAGAACGCGCGCGTCCCTTCGGGAGCACAAAGGGTTCCCACACAGGAGGGGATCATTTACACGCCATAGATGGCCTGAGGTACGTTGGGGTATCAGAGGTTTCCTTCCTAGGATACACCCGGTTCTCCGGCAACTGGTACCCGAGACGGCATGCGGTTTTTGGTCGGTTCGAGTCCGACATAACTACCGGTGGGTGGTATCCGAGGGGATTTCCGTACAAAAAAAAAAGTGACATATCTAGTCGTTGTTTGTTTTGTAACTTTTAACCGGGTAATGGTAATCATTTAGGAATGATTACCACACCCGCAGACACCTGCAACTTAAAAGTTACAATTGCGTTGCCGAAACTAGACATAATGATAACAAGGGTGATATTCTTTACAAATAAATAAAATTGAAGTGTCTGTTTGTAATGTCAAAATTATAGGTTTTTTCATGCTCACACAGTTATTTGCACGATACCTACACCTAAAAACCAGTTTAAATAATTTTTGCCTATCTGTATGTCTGTTTGTTTCGCGTAATATTCAAAATGGAAGGATCGATTTTGATAATATTTTAGTACCAGACAGCTGTCTATAGAACAAGTAACTTTCTATATTTTTCTCTCAGATAAACCCCATAAAATTTTGCCCGGTCCGGGACGAACCTCAGAGGTAGCACTTTTGGCATTCTACGCGAACGAAGCTAGTATTTAATATAATACTAATGTATACCACAAATTACACATACACTATATACTTCTGTACTAAATAAACACATATTATAGATTAATTATGATCGGCAACATAATTAATAATCGTGTTCATCACATAATCATTTGTACCGTCAAGACCGACGGGATCACTGTCGCCGTAAGGACCGTGTCCGAGAAAATACAAATAAATAATCCGATATTCATACGAAGTTAATTGTTGATTAGATTATTGTAGTTGTATTTTCTTAACCTTCTTTCTAACTAGAGGCCTATGTCCAGCAGTGGACTTCTAGAGGCAGATGATGATGTGTTTTCGTAACGCTCGTTAGTTGAGAAACCATGAAAGGCTACAACAGTCATCTAATGTTATTCTAATAACTTCATCATCATCATCAATCATCAACAGCCTATAACAATTCACTGCTGGACATAGGCCTCTCCTTAGAAAGGAGGTTTTGGCCTACTATACCACGCTGGCCAGACAGGTTGATATAGGGTTTGTTTCAAGTTTTCCTTCTCTTTGCAGTGCTGTTGTCCTCGTGCTTGACACCCATGGGATGAATGGGGGTGGTGCAATTCCGTATTCTTAATCCGTCACCACACGGACTTAGACCTAATAACTTTATCCTAGAGAAATAAGAAATAAAATAAAAGGTTTAGTAAAGAAAATACATTAGTATCGTAATTCGTTCGAAGACTGTGATATACGTATCTTGCGGAATGTAATTCACAATCTCGTCTTTAAGTTACATCCGACCGATGCTCACAGGAAATTTACTTGAGAGAATAAACTAGATAAAGTTAAAGTCATCATCAACGAATACTTAAGTTTTGTTCAATCAGTAAATTGACCTCATCAATCAAATCAAGAACGTAGATTCGAGCGCTACTTATCGATAGCTTTTTTGATAATCCTCCAAGTCAAATTAAAATGATTGATTTGAGAAAAATCAAGATTTGCTATCGGGATGATAGATTACCCTTAAGTTTCCTTCATTAGGTGTTGTATTTTAATTGCTGGTTCATTAAGGATGAAGGATGAAGGATTTATAGGATTAGTGTTGGGGCATTGCGGTGGCGTGGAAGGAAAGTTAGAAAGGTACCAAACTGTACTTGTGTTAGATTTATATGGACATACACGTATCGGATTTAATTAAACCTAAAATTTTGGGCTGCCTCGGTCTTTCATTGATAGCGTATGCGACTGCTGTGCTGAGGTCTCGGTGCTGAACTTCAAATATTTGTTTCGGAGTTAGGGTGTTTTCTATGTAAGCGCAAGCCTGGGGATGACAGGTGAGGCCATCTGTCACCCTAGCAAAAGCAGGCCGGGGTGGCGGCGAGCGCGCTCGCTTCCAGGGAGCAGAGGGAACATGGGGTTCCCACACGGCGGGGGGGGGGGGGGGGGTCCTCTACCTGTTGTTGTAGATAGCCCGAGGTATGTCGGGGCACCAGGGACTTCCTTTCTAGGGTATACCTGGTTCCCCGGCTATTAGTACCCAAGACGGCGTGCGGTTTTAGTCGGTTCGAGTCCGACATGCCTCCGATAGGTGGTATCCGAGGGGATTTCCGCACGGAAAAAAAGGGTGTTTTCTATGTATAATATGTATGTATTCACAAAAAAAAAGTGTATAAGTATTCTATCAGTCAATCTAGTTTTCATAGTACAAGCTCTATTTAGTTTGAAACTAGATGGTGTTGTGTGTCAGATGTCCAAAATATTATTATCTAGGGAAATATAACTTACTAAGGGACTTATAACTAACGTTTAAATTACCATGTTCCATAATTCCTATATAATTATATTTACAGGAGTTGAAATTGTTAATTATAATTTATGATTATATTGATGATACAAAGCAAAAAAATATCAACATTAACGAAGACGTGTGAGTGGATAAAAAGCTTCTATCTGACGGATTCGACAGCGCGGTGGGCTCGCATCTTTGAACCAGTTAGAATGTGACCACGGCTAGTGCAATTTGGTCGAAACGGTAATCATTCAAAATTGTATATATAATATCTGCCTTTAAGATTTCCTACTGTCAAAGCAGCAAATTCATCTTTTGACAAAAACCGACTTTGTTTAAGATTTTTAGTCACGGTAAATCTACGACGTTAATAGGGTGTCAATATTGATGAAGTTAATAATAATAATTGTTTATTGACTGAAATCAGGAATACAATATATATGTTAATGTTATAACATTAATTGGGTCTTGGCACTTTGAAGCTGGAGTTAACGGCGATGTATATACCGTGTGACAGACACAGGAGCCTTCCTCCAACAAGTAAAATTATATTTTTTTAAAACATTTACAAATAATATAGTATTTTTTCAGTGAATGTTTAGTAAGAAATGGTATAAATAATATAAAAACATAGGGTATGTAGTGTAAAACTGTGTGTGGATGATTGTGTATGATTAGTATTTCTGTGTAGTGTGTGTTTGTGTGTGTGTGTGGTGTGTGTTTGTGTGTGTTGTGGTGTACACCACGAAGACTTTACACCATTTTCATGAGTTCTCTTCATACGTTGCGTTTTTAAGGTATCCAGTAGGTAGGTATCCATACGTTCTTACATTCCAGTCTTGTTAAAGGTTACAAGTTACAGATTTTATTTAGACAGTTATAAGGGCGACCACTAAGACTCTGATAATGTCTAACTGCTATTGCCGTCCTCACACGAAGTCTTGGACATAAAATGTCTTTACGCCGTTTTTGTTGTTGTTGTAGGATTAAAACCCAGTAATCTTTTTCCAGGATAATTGAACTCTGAATAAGTACAAGTCTGTCTGTGGGTTCAGTCCAGATATTGTGGTTGCTAATACTGCAGCTATCATTGTAAGTTTATATCCTCTTTTTTCTCTATGTATCTTACTTGTTTAATAAATTTACTTTTAAAGTTCAGTGCATTGCAGTTAAAGCAATGACCTCAAGACAAAGACACAACAGTCAGAGTTGGATTTTAATTGCAAATACTTGTAATCGTG